CGAATCGAAACTCTAAAGTCTCCGAATCGAAACTCTAAAGTCTCCGACATGCCGTGACAAAGAGGCTAGTCACTACACAACAGAAGCCACTAGACCAGATGTGAGCAGAAATAGAGAGAACATGGAGTACAGCAAGTAAACAGCTTATAGGGATTTTTCACAAACAACTGGGGATTGGGGAGGAAAGGTGGGCACTAAAAAAGTGACACAATTCTGATAGAAAACTCATAGAGCAGGGATCTCAAACTCCAAGCCAAAGAGCCATTTGTAGCTCGGAGGACGATATGTGAGGCAGCATGGTGGATTCAGGCTCTCGTCAATTTTTGAGCACATAGAGTTATTTGTATCATCTTAAAGCTTGTTCAGTTGTCTTTATTTGAATGAAAAAATATCCATTTATCTTAGGGACAAGTCGATATATTTGAGAATGAAGGAGGTGGGGGTCACCGGTTTTCAGAGGTAAAATTTAGTGAGAAAATGGCCACCAAAGATTGGTTATTTCCTTAGCTTAAGAGCCCGTGGTAACTGAAAATTTACATCTTTTGTGTTTTTAATCAACGTTTTTCAGAAAAATCCACACAGCGATTAGTTCTTTAATGGACATGAAAGGTGTTGAGCCAAAAAACAAAAATTTGATAAAAATTCACAACCTGCAGAAAGATGGAAGTTTCTTCACTTTGATTATTTTGACGAGAGCCTGATTCCACCATGCTGGTTCACATATTATGTTTTGCAGCTCCTATATGACATCAAAATTTAGTGTTAATGTGACCCCCACATTTTTCTCACAAGTACCCTTTTTTGAAACCTCTTTGCTAGCACAGATCTGTGTGAAAATCTCTTCTCCACCATGACTTCAATAAGACAGAGTACATATCCCAAACTTACTGATGAATATCTTCAAACCTTACTGAGGGTCCCACTTGCTTTACACAGTGTCGTTAGTATGTTTTTAAAAAAAATACATGGGGGAAGGGTGGAATGGAGAGTGGCTGTTAATACAGATGGCGTCGGTGCCCTAGTGGTTAGGCTCTCGGACTCGCAACCGTAAGGTCATGGGTTCGAATCCTGTCAGGGGCCCGACGTTGTGTCTTTGGGAAAGGCATTTTGCACAAATTTTCCTCTCTTCACCCAGGTGGAAATGGGTACCCGGCTATAGACAGTGAAAGATCTTGTCAGTTTGATAGTGTTTGAGCGTG